CGGATGCTCCGAGATCCACACTCTTCAGACCTAGTGTGTCTCCAGGAAAGACCAAACTCTGCCCCTGACAGGGGAAAGCAGAGTCCACTTCACATCAGCCTGATGGGCACAAGATCTGACGTCCCCCTGTTATGTCGGGTCCCAGCAGCCGTTTTAATTAAAGCAGTGAGGAACCAATGAGCTAAAACAGAAAGGGAAGAAAAGGAGCTGGTTCCTCCACCCCAGCCAAGTTCTAGATGGGCACTGCTAAAATCACAACTGCACGCTGCTGAACACAGAATACAGGCTGGGCCACCGAAGTCATGGTCCTGGGGGAATCATGGCCCTGGGTCAACACCAATACTATTAGAATACAATTCTGAGTGGCCCCTATTCTACCAGAAGGGGTGCTCATGGCAGTGTTGACAAGGATAGACGGGAATTTGTAGTGAACACTAAGCAATTACAGAATAAATATGATAGATTTCTTTTCATTCTGGGATGTGTGTGTGTGTGTGTGTGTGTGTGTGTGAGAGAGAGAGAGAGAGAGAGAGAGAGAGAGAGAGAGAGAGAGAGAATTCACACATGTGGGGGTGCCCACTAGGCCAAAAGATGGTATCACACCCAGAGCTGACGTCACAGATGGTTGTGAGCTGTCCAGCATGGGTTCTAGGAACCGAACTCTGGTCCATTGAGAGAGCAGCTAGAGCTCTTAACCACTGGACCATCTTTCCAATCCCCAAGGTGACCACTTCCTTAGAGAAGGAAAAGAGGAACAAGTACCTCGGCATCAGGCTAAGGAGGAAGACTAGAAGACCCCAGGATGTGCGTTCATGGACATCCTCTTCCTCCCTGCCCCCCCTCCCTCCTGTCTTTTTCCTCACTTCCTTCTTTTCTCCTCCCTTTCTGCCTTCTTTGAGGGTGTCTCACTAGCCCAGGCCCCAAACCCACACTCGTCTGGCCTCAGCCTCCCATGCTAGGATATCAGGTGTGTATTACCAGATATGTGAATGAGTGCGGGAAAGCGGGGACCCCTCCCCTATCTTCTCCTGCCTTCTGACAAAGACACAGAGATCTCACATCCCTAACCTAGTGTTAGGTTAAAAGGTGTACAGTTCCTGGGGACTCCTCTAGGTTTCCATGGAGCCAGGAAAAGAACAGCGTCTCTTTTAGGGGGACAGGCTGTGAGCACTGAACAACAAGATCAATTTGCCAGCCCCCAGCAAACCCCTGCCCATGAAGGACAGAGCTCAGTTTTGCCCCTCAGACTTCTGCTAAGTCATTTGAACAAATCAGTGTGCTTTTTCTCTTTTTCTTCTCATTTGTAAGGGAAGAAATTTATCCAGATGATGCCTTCAGATTCCTTCCTCATTAACAATCTCTTTTTGGTGCTTAGAAACAGTCTTTACTCATGCTGACACCAAGAGTCTATTTATTCATGTATTTATTTAGCAGCACTGGGGATTGAATCCAGGCCTTCACTCATATTAGGCAATCATTCTACCACTGTTATAGCCCCAGCCCATGGCAGCTCATCTGTAATTACAAAATAATACTTCTGTAGGAAAATAGATGAAACTGGAAAAATTATACTGTGACAACCCAGCTACAGGAAAATAAATGCACACATTCTCCTTCATATGTGGGTCATAACTGAATCTCTCTAACTTTGTATGTTCAGTTTAGAGCTGATGAGGAGCTAGAAATCTAGAAAGAGGCCATTGGGAGGGGATTCCTTAAGAAATGGTGGGCAGTAGATCTAGTTAACATAGAAAGTGAGAGGGGAATGCCAGAGGTGAAGAGGTTTGAGTAGGAAAGGGGTGGGGGTGTGTGGAGATGAGGGGCAACAGGAAAGATCACCTAAAAGGGGGGGTATATGGCAAAGCCATTGGAAACCTGCAATCTTATAACCTAACTTTTTAAAAAAGATTTGTTTATTTATTATGTATACAGTGTTGTGCTTGCATATCTGCTGGGCAGAAGAAGGAACCAGATTTCATTACAGATGGTTGAGAGCTACTATGTGGTTGCTGGGAATTGAACTCAGGACCTTTGGAAGAGCAGTCAGTGCTCTTAACTGCTGAGCCATCTCTCCAGCCCATAACCAAACTTTTTTAACTTGGAAGGGAGATATCCTGCATGGCTGGGAACACAGACAAAAATGGTGCTAAGTATTGCCTAACTCCTTATGAGTTAGGGAAGCCCTAGAGGCCCCCAAACAATACAAGCTCTTGCCATTCCTCTTTGATGCCCACCGGAACCAGACTGTAAGACCCTATTGCTGAAGACACCACACACCTTAGTGGAATCCTCTTCCCCGATGGCAAACTTTCATAGTGCTGGAAGTTCTATACCAGCTTCTGGGGGTAGATGGGCTATCAGTAGTCTTACCACACTGTGAACCCTATAAACTATGATACCAAACTGCTAGGCAAGGTGCTCTCACTTGTGCGATAATGGCACAACTGTTATAGAAATAGCCAACCACTCCACAGCAGTGAATCAATATTAGTATGCTTGAACACCTTCTAAAGCCAGTTGTGGGGACAGTCATAGAACCTAGGGGTCCTGTTGTTTAGCTAAAGTGACATAATGTCGAACTATCTTATATGTTTGTGGCCATGGACAGTTACCACACTCAGCCTTAACCAGAGAAGCCTCTCTTTCCAGGGAACTGTGATGGACACAGAGATTTGTGGCTTCACAAGGTGCCCAGAATAAGTGGCAGCTAAATGATCAGCCCCAAATAAGACATTCGTATCATTACCTCCAAGACTTAGGGAACACTGAGGAAGAGGGGGCAGGAAGACTGTAAGAGGCTCAATATGGGGAGGACTGTGAAATCCATCTGACGAGAAATGCACAGCCATCGCAGTCAAGAGTTCTCTCAACAACTGCGGAGGACTGCGCTGGGTCTGCACAAAAATCAACACCCAGCCAGTGACAGAGGAAGAGCTCACAGGGCCCCACCCCTCACTGCTTAACTGTGTCCTACGGACAGATCCAGGGAAAAGACTCCTTTTCCCTGGGTGACCAGTGACCCTGAAGTCACTGACTTCAGGGGTGCATCTAGTAGTGACCCCACCAGACTTCAATGCATAGCCCCAAACCACAGCTCACACAGATGGCCCTGCATTTCAAAGAAAAAGAAACGGGCTGCACAACAAAACAAACAAACCATGAACCTAGAGAAGGATCAGGCAGGGAGGAGGGAGGGCTCCTAAAGGTGGACAGGAAGGGGAGAGAGTAACCAGGATGTGTTATACACATGTATGGAACTAACTTAAAAAAATACATGTTTATTGCACAGACTTCAGGAAAGAAAATATAAATAAAAAGGAAGCAAAATTCCATGATTTGTTACCTAGAGTCTTTAAGAAATGTTCCTTTTTAATTCTTGTTTTGTGATTGCTGGTTTCCCCTTTTTATCCACATAACTGCCTTTTAACAAAATGGGGATCACAAGGGGTGGGGATCACAAAGTCTTCATAGCTTTGCATGCTGTTCTTATGCTGCCATCACTTCCCCCAAGTCATCAGTCTTTGAAAATAACGACTGCACATCCTCCCCCAAGGGGTAATGCCATGGTTCCTTGGCATTTACTTGCTTTCCTATTCTAAATGATGCTGTCATGAGCATCCTAGCCTAACGATGTAAGTATCACCTGCACCTCCATTTCCTTGAATTGGTTCTTCAAGGAATTACAAGGTCAGTAAGCATAACTCCAAAGGGCCTGTGCATGTATCACCAAATTAGTTTCCATAAATCCACTAAGACCCGCTGATTTTCCTGAGCAGTGTGGAGGTGAAGCTCTGAAAGACAAGTTAGAATGCAGGACAGTGGTTGGTCTATCATCCCTTCTCCATCTTGAACTTAACTGCCTAGAAAACAGGAGAGGGAGTTTGGAGCCCTTAGGGCTGGAAGCCTGACTCTGTCTCTGACTCTTACTGGCTCTGGAAATGGAAACAACCCTCAGGTCCCTCATCTATGAAATGGATATGAATACTTTTGCTGACTAACCAGAGAAGCTTTGCACTTCCTGAAAAGATGTCTGCGAACGGTCTTTGTAAACACCAAGGCTCTGGGTTAAAGGGCGCTACTACTACCCTAGTCACATCCAGGGAGACTGAGGAAGTGGGTTGTGTTGTTTCCTGTTGTGTGTTTTAATTGTTATTGCTGTTTGCAAAGCCCTGGAGCTTTTAGCTATCTTTGTGCCCCTAGAACTACAGGCAACTGGCTCTGATAACGATGGGAAAGCAGCTTTCTGGAGAGAATCAACTGGGTTCAAGCGCCTGGGAGAACCTAGCAGCATCTTCCAAAGGTCAGGGACACGTTGGAAGCTGTAAAGCCTGGGGCTGAGCCTACGGCCTCCCCAGAGGATGCTGGATGGATGGAGGGACATAGCAAACCTTGCCGGTGAAGGTGAATCCATTTCAAAGCTCCCTACCCCTCTTTCTAGGGTTCAAACCAGATATTTTGTCTTTGGGTAAACTGAAAAAACAAGCTGATTCAGTTGGTGCAAAAGATTACCCGCTACAGAAGACCCCGGGAGCACACCACCAGCTCCTGCTGGATCTCTAAGATCCTGTGTTTGGAAATGCAACTAGTGCTTCCAGCCGGGTCTCTCCAGCCCAAGGTAGATACAAAGACCAAGATGACTCCCTTGGGAAGCTCAGCTGGAAAACCTGGGTTTTCCTCCACACTGCCCTATCCACCCCGCAAATGCCTTCCCCACCTCTTCACGCCTAGTATTACAGGAGGGGACTCCAATGACGTTGCCAGGGCAGACAGGGAGAACTGCGCAGACCCCCACCGACCGCCATCCGCCCTCATTTCCACCATCAGCGCCCATCAGCTGCTACCCCAGCCCACCTCCACTGCCAGAAGCGCCTGTCCCGCTGTCCAAATGCACAC